TTCTAAAATTTTTATAGTTTTATGTTTTACATTTAAATAAAACATGATCAATTTGGAGTTAATTTTTATATGTGATGTTGAGAATTTTTTTTTTTTTTTTTTTTGCCTATGGGTCTTCAATTGCTTTAGCTTCTGTACTGAAAAGTCTATACTTTTCCAGAAAATTGTTCTTGTTCTTTAGTAAAAAATATAAAAAAATCATGTGGGCATTATGTATATAGGTTTGTTTACAGATCTTTTATTTCATTTATCTGTAATTCTATCTCTCTTTYCACATACCACACAGTCTTCATTATTTAATTCCTTTTCAAAATTGTTTTAATTAGTAAAGGTCCAGGTCCATTCAAATTTTAGAAAAAATTTTTCTATGGCTACCAAAAAGAAAAGTCTGGGATTCTAGAATTACACTAAACCTATAGATCAACTTATTTATGTTCAGTCTTCCAATTTTCAAAATATAATACATATCTGTACTTATTTAGGTCTTTGGTTTCTTTTATAATCTTTCTTTACCTTTTTTTCCCTGCATGACTGGGACCTGTATCACCAGCCACAGTTCTTTGATTTCTTCATTTGTATTTTGCAATTTCAGGATCCAGCTCCTGTGTATTTTATGAGATTTATCATTAAGTATTTCATTTTGGGAAAGCAATTTTAMGTGGCATTGTTTAAATTTCTTTCTACAGTTTGTTGTTATTATGCAGTTTATTTTTTTCTTCCTTTCTACCTCCATTTATTCTCAGGTGAAAGGTTATAACTTCTGAATATACATTATCAATAGAATCACCTGTCAAGAATACTGATTTCCCAAACATAATTCAAATCCTGAATTTTTGGAAACCTTCATGTGGGTAGGGGTCAGAATGCCTCTGCTTCCATAGGAGCCTCTAATGTTTGCTTGGGTTACATGAGTTTGTGTGTTGAGGAGAGGGAGTATGGTTTCTAGAAGAGATTTTGTTGGTGTTTGTATGGCCACCCTASTCTCTGCATTAGCTCTGTTGGACACTTCTAATATGTCCAGAATTAGGCAATTGGCCTGAAAGAATGTTCGTACAAGCTAAATATTTTTTCTTGACTTTTTTACTCTTTGATTTTTGTATTTAGTTGGGAAATACTAAATGTATTTTCTATAAGACATTCTTTGTTTTCTTCATTTCAGATCCAGTGGTAAGGTAAGTAATTTTGCGGTAGCAATTCTTCTATTAAGGATAGAGCTAATGTTACAATTCACCAGTATCTGTGAACCCAACAACGGTTGTTGTACTTTTTGTATAATTGACTAACAAGATGGAAGGAATGTTCAACACCTGACATTGCTAGGGTGATCRCACTTCAAATCTCCAAACAGCATTATAGTTGATTAAATGTGTTCTGAGTTATTATTTGTTCATATGAAAATTACATGTATGTTGAGATATATGTGTTCACMTATAAGCCTAGAAGTATAGGGTCTGCATTTTGAGTTATAGTTGTGCAAATTTAGAAAATGAGATGGTCTTAGAAAAGTTGCTGTTYTCAAAATAATGAACTTCCTCAGTGCAACAGGTCTAAGAAAAGATATGGAAAGAAAATACTGAAGCAAAGCAAGCATAGGAAATGTCTATGACTAATGCAAAGGAAGAGTAAAATGATATTTTCTCTGGTTTGTAAAATATCCACTGGGAGAATGAGATGGRAGTAGTTAGCTAGTTGCCTGTCATAAATGGTGTGGTACTCCCAACTTAAAATGAAAGGTAGCCTCTTACCTGTACTGAGACAGTCCCRTGGTTCTCAAGCTTGAGCATGCCTCAGGGTCACCTGGTGAACTTAACAGAACATCTCACTCCCCAAATCTCTGAGAATCTGCATTTCTAAYAAGGTCCAGGTGCTGCTAATGTTGCTGGTCCCAGGTATCCCACTTTGAAATTTAAAATCTCATCTATTGATAATTCCWTTGAAGGCTAAAAAAAAATACTAGAGCTATTGGATATCAGGAAAAAGCCTAAAGACTGTCCTTAGATCTATAGGGTTTTCTGAACAGACATCTAGATGCTRCTCTTGGGTCTCTAGTGGACAAGATGCAACATGTAAGGAAAGGTTTCAGTTGTGCAWATGGAATACCATCTGCATAGGTGTTAGTGCATTGGAATGGAGGCACAGATCTCCTATAYCTAAAGTCCTTCTAAAGAAAACAGTTGGCCATTGTTTGTCCTAAATTATTTATAAGTTCTTCTTCCTACAGGTAAAAAATGACCAAATTTCTAAAAGTGTAGGCTATGTCACAGATGAGTAGAGATTAGTTCTTTCCACTTTCTAAACCTACGATTACAGTTATTGAAATCTTCAATTATGTAGATGTTTTCTCTCTGTGACTTGTATTTTCATAATTATGCATGAGGGGYATATTCTTGGGTCTTGAACAACCAGGCACTTATATTCTTAGCTTGGCTTGTCTTAGAGTCATTTCAGTCTTTATTCTAAACTTCCCACAGAACTTAAATATCTTTACCCTCTCACACATGAAAGTTCATCAATAGTATGGKGGTCTTTGATCAACATCTCACATCCATTTTGTATTTTGGTTTTGCTTGTTCTCATGAGATTATTCACATGTAGAATCACTCTCAGAAGCCGGCAGATATACAATTAAAGTTTTATGAGACTGATTATAGAATAAAAACAAGGAGATTGGGGACCTAGCTCTTTGGGTGTGGGACTAAACTTATGTCAGTGAGTTTGATAGCATTTGCTCCCAATATACTTCAACCCACTCCAACATGGAAATACCCGATTGCCTGATCTGTTCACARTCTCTTTGGAAAATGCATCTTTGTGACAAGTATTTTTTATTGAAGTCCATATACTTCAATTGGGATCAGAAAAAGGAAAGAGAAAAGAATTGAAAATATATTTGTCTTAAGATTATCCTTTTCAGGGATAGGTTAGGCTGATTTGGGATAAAATGCCTGCTATTTTTCTGKTACAGGAACAACCCAAATTGGGTTCGTGCTCCTTTGACCCTACCCAATGAGTGGAGAGGAGCTGCAGGCATTTTTGAAGTGAATGAACAATTTGTTATTGGCTTCAAAAAAATGAGTGTCACAAGCGGTGAGATAGGGAACTTGAACTTGGGCATATAAGTTTGCTCTAAAACCTGTTCCTACAYGTGAACAGTGTTTCTGCTCTGTGTATTGGGCCCACAATGCATCTCAGCATGACTTTGATCATAAAAGAAATAAATGCAACAGTAGAGGAAATTCTTTTCAACAAGGATTTCTTTATTTAACTTGGATAGATTTATAGAATACAATGATCCTTTTATAGCAAGACAACAAATAAAGGTATAAGAGATCTTCACCCCATCAATCAATGGTACATTATTCTATGCATTCGATTATTGGAGTCCTGGGTATAAGAGTACAGTGGAAATGGCCTATAGTGTATGGCACAGTGAAGGATGAACAGGTACTGAAGTTATATGAAAGAATGTCAGAAAAACATAGGAAGTTAGTAGCTATAATTCCATCATCTATTAGTTAAACATGGGGATTATTTTCCCATAGCTGAGCTGCTCTGGATTTCACAGGTCTTATCTTACCACCACTAGACATCAGTATTTTGAAAGTATGGATCTGTGATGTGACAGAGAGGCGGGTATTAAATTTATAATCCTTGAATGCACCACACGAGCAACTTCAGGTCACGGGAAGAGAAGTAGGAGGAACGGAGAAAGACTCACCAAAGTGCAAGGACATCCCAGCAACTGCCATCAAAGCCTGGCGGCCGCCTAGCARCAGCACTGCTTCTGGCAGCAGCACTTCTGCTGGCAGCAGCCCTTCCCACAGCCGCAGGAGTGGCAGCAGGTGCGGCGGCAGCACACCCTGCGGGTGCAGCTGCCACCGCAGCCACAGCAGCCACAGCAGCCACAGCAGCCACAGCAGCCACAGCAGCCACCACAGCTGCCACAGCTACCACAGCTACCACAGCTGCCACAGCCACCACAGCTACCACAGCTACTGCAGCCACCACAGCCACCACAGCCACCACAGCCACCGCAGCCACCGCAGCCTCCACAGCCACAGCAACCCATGTTGTCAGTCGAGAGGACTCAGGTGCAGAGAGGAGAGGACTCGGGAGAGGAGAGGGAGGTCTGGTGCTTTCCTCTGCCAGGGGCCTTTAAATATGCCAGCAGGACCTGGCACGTGGCACAGTCACTTCCTTGTTGTTGTTTTGGCCAGTTTCTGTGGTGGACRCTGGCTTCCTGATGGTTACTCCCTTAGGGTGCACGACTTGATTTGTATTTCAATTTTAGATAGATTCCCCTCTGTTTCAACCATGGGGTCAGAACTGACTGAACGAAATCTTTACTAACAAATTGCCTTTCCTCATCTGTCTGTCCGAGACAGCAATTCCTTTGGTTAGTCGTCACTGCCCAAGCCCATGAGACCCAGTTCTCCTGGGCTCTCACAGGTCAGGGCTAGCCTCACAGGGAGAACGCCATGCCCCAGCTTTCTGCTTTACTCTGTCTCACATTTTAYGTACATTATCTTTAATCACCTTTTAAAAATGATTTAGGTGTGTAGAGAGTGTTAATCAGGGTTCTCTAAAGGAAAAGAACCAACAGGATACACACATATATGTTTTTCTAGATTGGCTTACACAACCAGAGGTTGTGGATAGTCCCACAATGGCTGTCTACRGGCTGGAGAGCWAGAGGAACAAGTAGCTGCTCAGTTCAAGAAGCTGCAACCTCAGAACAAGAGGGATCAATAATGTGGCTCCAGCCCTGGACCAAAGGCCTGAAAATTTTCTGGAGAGWCACTGGTCCGAGTCCTCTTTGGAAGAGTGAAGGAATCGGAGTTGATGTCCTCAAGCGATTGCAGCAGCAGTCAAGACCTGTTCAAGAAGAACCAGGCTTGCATCTGCTGCTACCTCCTTGTTGTTCTTCCAACTTTTTGATTCCACCCAAATCTCCAACCTATTGGACTCTGCTGCCCACACTTAGGGTAGGYCTCTGCTCACATTTGCTGTCTCACATGCCAATCATTTCTAGAAAAACCCTCATGGATACACCCAGAAGTCTGTTAGTCTTGAGCACCTCTTAATTCAATTGAGTTGACAATTCA